TCACTTCGAATTTTCTTTTGATTTTGTCTATGGAAATTTAATCGATTTGATTCAATCTTAACATACATGTCTACTACATACTGCTGAAAGAGTCGTCCATCTCGCAAAATTAAATTAATATTATTAGGACGAATCTGTATTTGGTAAGCATAATACTCCATTGTGCTGATAAACATTCTATTTTGTGGATTAACATTATCTTCAGCATCGCTTTGTTGATACTCTTCAGCATCAATATCTATGGGAACATCACAATCATTATTTGACATCAGTTAGAAAGAATGTTCTTTATAAGGGATTTGGTGAAAAGTCTATCCTTGCTTACCGTAAGGAAAAAGGAGAAGGTATGCTAAAGGATCGTAACATCCAGTGAACTCTGAAATTCGAACTAATTTATCTATTTTTGTGTGTAGAATAATATCCCGCCTCTGAGGGATTTCAGAGACTGTATTTTTATTAATCCAGATCGCAGCAACTTGTGGAGCAGTCAGAGCATTATGAGTTCTTTAATCTAATCTGCGAACGTTAGTGTGGATCATGAGTTATAGATTAGCAATATTTTTCTTAGGCAGCTCTAAGATATAACGAAGATGAGAAACATAAGGATTTAACTTGTTAAGCATGGTTTTCAATTCATGAACAATAGCATGGTTAAGCTGGGAATTCGGAATGGCATTCATTTGATGGTGTAATTCGTGTTTAGTGTCCCAAATATATATCTGGAGGTAGTGGGGTTCTGAGTTAAGGTTTGGAAGCAATGATTCGATACAGTGATAGAAAGAATCTTGAACACAAAATGTGTACACTTCAGCCCTAGCATTAGCCAATTTATGATCAAAACATATGCCAATGGAAGCAAACACAAATGCAAAATTATAAATGCGAATATTATCATGAAAATGTTTCGAAATGTCGTCCTGTTCATAAAAGAGCCGTTGAAGTGATGGAGGGATATGTCGTTCTGCTAAAATTACCTTACCGTTTCTGCAACACATTCCTGGACTCTTATTAGGAAACTTGAGCACATTACAGTAACTACAATGAGAATAATTGTTAGAGTGGATCTTATGGAGAATAGAATAGTTATCATTATTTGTATTTTCAGAGAAATTGTAGACTAAATTAAGAAATCGAGATTTAAGTCGACATTGGTGATGAGCAGTAGCATCCCTTTTACGTCTACTATTACATTGTTCTTCAGTTTTTTCTGCACGATGGCGTCGTTGAGCATTAGCATTTGTTTCATTCGTCTCTGACGCTTGTGAGCCACATCGGTCATTCCATGTTCTTCGTTCGTAGAACTCTGGTGGGTATGATGCATAATAATAGAGTAGAAGATGTGATTAGTATGTAAAAAGGGTATAAGGATAGTTTGATTATAATAGAAGAATAGTTACGCAAATAAACGACTTATTGATAGGGATACTGAAAATTTTAGTTTTATGTGAGACTTTGGTCGGTACGATAAATATTCTTGATTAAACACCTTTATTGATTGGTAAGATAAATAGTCATAATTAACGCATATTTAAATTTATTAGTACTAAATCAAATT